CCAGTCACTCACCCAGAGACCCACTCACCCCAACCACCAACCCACCCACTCACTCACCCACTCACCCCAACCACCAACCCAGAGACCCACTCACCCGCTCACCCACCCAGAGACCCACTCACCACTCACCCACCCAGAGACCCACTCACCCACTCACTCACCCAGAGACCCACTCACCCACTCACCTACCCAGAGACCCACTCACCACTCACCCACCCAGAGACCCACTCACCCACTCACTCACCCAGAGACCCACTCACCCCAACCACCAACCCACCCACCCACTCACCCACTCACCCACCCAGAGACCCAATCACTCACCCACCCAGAGACCCACTCACCCACCCAGTCACTCACCCAGAGACCCACTCACCCACCCAGAGACCCACTCACCACTCACCCACCCACTCACCCACCCACCCAGAGACCCAGTCACCACTCACCCACCCACCCAGAGACCCACTCACCCACTCACTCACCCAGAGACTCACTCACCCACCCAGAGACCCACTCACCCACTCACTCACCCAGAGACCCACTCACCCCAACCACCAACCCACTCACTCACCCAGAGACCCACTCACCCACTAAGCCCACTCACCCACCCACCCAGAGACCCACTCACCCACTCACTCACCCAGAGACTCACTCACCCACCCAAAGACCCACTCACCCACGCACTCACCCAGAGACCCACTCACCCACCCAGAGACCCACTCACCCACTAAGCCCACTCACCCACCCACCCAGAGACCCACTCACCCACCCAGAGACCCACTCACCCACTAAGCCCACTCACCCACCCACCCAGAGACCCACTCACCCACTTACTCACCCAGAGACCCACTCACCCACCCAGAGACCCACTCACCCACTCACTCACCCAGAGACCCACTCACCCACCCAGAGACCCACTCCGTCACCCAGAGACTTACTCACCCACCCAGAGACCCACTCACCCACTCACCACTCACCCACCCACTCACCCCAACCACCAACCCACTCACTCACCCAGAGACCCACTCACCCACTCACCCACCCAGAGACCCACTCACCACTCACCCACCCAGAGACCCACTCACCCACTCACTCACCCAGAGACCCACTCACCCCAACCACCAACCCACCCACCCACTCACCCACTCACCCACCCAGAGACCCAATCACTCACCCACCCAGAGACCCACTCACCCACCCAGTCACTCACCCAGAGACCCACTCACCCACCCAGAGACCCACTCACCACTCACCCACCCACTCACCCACCCACCCAGAGACCCACTCACCCACTCACTCACCCAGAGACTCACTCACCCACCCAGAGACCCACTCACCCACTCACTCACCCAGAGACCCACTCACCCCAACCACCAACCCACTCACTCACCCAGAGACCCACTCACCCACTAAGCCCACTCACCCACCCACCCAGAGACCCACTCACCCACTCACTCACCCAGAGACTCACTCACCCACCCAAAGACCCACTCACCCACTCACTCACCCAGAGACCCACTCACCCACCCAGAGACCCACTCACCCACTAAGCCCACTCACCCACCCACCCAGAGACCCACTCACCCACCCAGAGACCCACTCACCCACTAAGCCCACTCACCCACCCACCCAGAGACCCACTCACCCACTTACTCACCCAGAGACTCACTCACCCACCCAGAGACCCACTCACCCACTCACTCACCCAGAGACCCACTCACCCACCCAGAGACCCACTCCGTCACCCAGAGACTTACTCACCCACCCAGAGACCCACTCACCCACTCACCACTCACCCACCCACGCACCCCAACCACCCACCCACTCACTCACCCAGAGACCCACTCACCCACTAAGCCCACTCACCCACCCACCCAGAGACCCACTCACCCACTCACTCACCCAGAGACTCACTCACCCACCCAGAGACCCACTCACTCACCCAGAGACCCACTCACCCACCCAGAGACCCACTCCGTCACCCAGAGACTTACTCACCCACCCAGAGACCCACTCACCCACTCACCCACCCACTCACCCACCCAGAGACCCACTCACCCACTCACTCACCCACTCACCCACCCAGAGACCCACTCATCCACGCACCCACCCAGTCACTCACCCAGAGACCCACTCACCCACCCAGAGACCTACTCACCCACTCACCCACCCAGAGACCCACTCACCCACTCACTCACCCACTCACCCACCCAGAGACCCACTCACCCACTCACACACTCACCCACCCAGAGATCCACTCACCCACGCACCCACCCAGTCCCTCACCCAGAGACCCACTCACCCACTCACCCACCCAGTCACTCACCCACTCACCCACCTAGTCACTCACCCAGAGACCCACTCACCCACCCAGAGACCCACTCACCACTCACCCACCCACTCACCCACCCACCCAGAGACCCACTCACACACTCACCCACCCAGTCACTCACCCACTCACCCACCTAGTCACTCACCCAGAGACCCACTCACCCACCCAGAGACCCACTCACCACTCACCCACCCACCCACCCAGAGACCCACTCACCCACTCACTCACCCAGAGACCCACTCACCCCAACCACCAACCCACCCACCCACTCACCCACTCACCCACCCAGAGACCCACTCACTCACCCACCCAGAGACCCACTCACCCACTCACCCACCCAGTCACTCACCCAGAGACCCACTCACCCCAACCACCAACCCAGAGACCCACTCACACACTCACCCACCCAGAGACCCACTCACCCACTCACCCACCCAGTCACTCACCCAGAGACCCACTCACCCCAACCACCAACCCACCCACTCACTCACCCACTCACCCCAACCACCAACCCAGAGACCCACTCACCCGCTCACCCACCCAGAGACCCACTCACCACTCACCCACCCAGAGACCCACTCACCCACTCACTCACCCAGAGACCCACTCACCCACTCACCTACCCAGAGACCCACTCACCACTCACCCACCCAGAGACCCACTCACCCACTCACTCACCCAGAGACCCACTCACCCCAACCACCAACCCACCCACCCACTCACCCACTCACCCACCCAGAGACCCAATCACTCACCCACCCAGAGACCCACTCACCCACCCAGTCACTCACCCAGAGACCCACTCACCCACCCAGAGACCCACTCACCACTCACCCACCCACTCACCCACCCACCCAGAGACCCAGTCACCACTCACCCACCCACCCAGAGACCCACTCACCCACTCACTCACCCAGAGACTCACTCACCCACCCAGAGACCCACTCACCCACTCACTCACCCAGAGACCCACTCACCCCAACCACCAACCCACTCACTCACCCAGAGACCCACTCACCCACTAAGCCCACTCAACCACCCACCCAGAGACCCACACACCCACTCACTCACCCAGAGACTCACTCACCCACCCAAAGACCCACTCACCCACTCACTCACCCAGAGACCCACTCACCCACCCAGAGACCCACTCACCCACTAAGCCCACTCACCCACCCACCCAGAGACCCACTCACCCACCCAGAGACCCACTCACCCACTAAGCCCACTCACCCACCCACCCAGAGACCCACTCACCCACTCACTCACCCAGAGACTCACTCACCCACCCAGAGACCCACTCACCCACTCACTCACCCAGAGACCCACTCACCCACCCAGAGACCCACTCCGTCACCCAGAGACTTACTCACCCACCCAGAGACCCACTCACCCACTCACCACTCACCCACCCACTCACCCCAACCACCAACCCACTCACTCACCCAGAGACCCACTCACCCACTAAGCCCACTCACCCACCCACCCAGAGACCCAATCACCCACTCACTCACCCAGAGACTCACTCACCCACCCAGAGACCCACTCACTCACCCAGAGACCCACTCACCCACCCAGAGACCCACTCCGTCACCCAGAGACTTACTCACCCACCCAGAGACCCACTCACCCACTCACCACCCACCCAGAGACCCACTCACCACTCACCCACCCACTCACCCCAACCACCAACCCACTCACCTCCTCCACCAGGAGGCGAGGGTACGACTTGAGTGGAACGTCGATGATGTTGGGTCCAAACACCTTTCTCCTGCAACGTCACACACACTAATTCACTCATTCACTAATTCATTCACTCACTCACTCATTCACTCACTCACCCACTCACTCACCCACTCATTCACTCACTCACACACTCACTCATTCACTCACTCACTCACTCACCCACTCACCCACTCACTCAGTCACCCACTCACCCACCCACCCACTCATTCACTCATCACTCACTCATTCACTCACTCACTCACCCACTCACTCACTCACCCACTCACCCACTCACTCAGTCACCCACTCACCCACCCACTCACTCATTCACTCATTCACTCACTCACCCACTCATTCACTCACTCATTCACTCACTCATTCACCCACTCACCCATTCACTCACTCATTCACTCATTCACTCACTCACTCATTCACTCACTCACCCACTCATTCACTCACTCACACACTCACTCATTCACCCACTCACCCATTCACTCACTCATTCACTCATTCACTCACTCATTAACTCATTCACTCATTCACTCACTCACCCACTCACTCACCCACTCATTCACTCACTCACACACTCACACATTCACTCACTCATTCACTCACTCATTCACTCATTCATTCACTCATCCATTCACTCATTTATTCACTCACTCATTTACTCACTCATTCACTCGTTCATTCACTCACTCATTCACTCACTCATTCACTCACTCATTTACTCACTCATTCACTCGTTCATTCATTCACTCATTCACTCACTCATTCACTCACTCATTCACTCACTCACTCACTCATTCACTCATTCACACACTCATTCACTCACTCACACACTCACTCACTCACTCACCCACTCACCCACTCACTCACCCAGCCACCCACCCACTCACTCACCCACCCACTCACTCACCCACCCACCCACTCACCCACTCACTCACCCAGAGACCCACTCACCCCAACCACCAACCCACTCACTCACCCAGAGACCCACTCACCCACTAAGCCCACTCAACCACCCACCCAGAGACCCACTCACCCACTCACTCACCCAGAGACTCACTCACCCACCCAAAGACCCACTCACCCACTCACTCACCCAGAGACCCACTCACCCACCCAGAGACCCACTCACCCACTAAGCCCACTCACCCACCCACCCAGAGACCCACTCACCCACCCAGAGACCCACTCACCCACTAAGCCCACTCACCCACCCACCCAGAGACCCACTCACCCACTCACTCACCCAGAGACTCACTCACCCACCCAGAGACCCACTCACCCACTCACTCACCCAGAGACCCACTCACCCACCCAGAGACCCACTCCGTCACCCAGAGACTTACTCACCCACCCAGAGACCCACTCACCCACTCACCACTCACCCACCCACTCACCCCAACCACCAACCCACTCACTCACCCAGAGACCCACTCACCCACTAAGCCCACTCACCCACCCACCCAGAGACCCAATCACCCACTCACTCACCCAGAGACTCACTCACCCACCCAGAGACCCACTCACTCACCCAGAGACCCACTCACCCACCCAGAGACCCACTCCGTCACCCAGAGACTTACTCACCCACCCAGAGACCCACTCACCCACTCACCACCCACCCAGAGACCCACTCACCACTCACCCACCCACTCACCCCAACCACCAACCCACTCACCTCCTCCACCAGGAGGCGAGGGTACGACTTGAGTGGAACGTCGATGATGTTGGGTCCAAACACCTTTCTCCTGCAACGTCACACACACTAATTCACTCATTCACTAATTCATTCACTCACTCACTCATTCACTCACTCACCCACTCACTCACCCACTCATTCACTCACTCACACACTCACTCATTCACTCACTCACTCACTCACCCACTCACCCACTCACTCAGTCACCCACTCACCCACCCACCCACTCATTCACTCATCACTCACTCATTCACTCACTCACTCACCCACTCACTCACTCACCCACTCACCCACTCACTCAGTCACCCACTCACCCACCCACCCACTCATTCACTCATTCACTCACTCACCCACTCATTCACTCACTCACACACTCACTCATTCACCCACTCACCCATTCACTCACTCATTCACTCATTCACTCACTCACTCATTCACTCACTCACCCACTCATTCACTCACTCACACACTCACTCATTCACCCACTCACCCATTCACTCACTCATTCACTCATTCACTCACTCATTAACTCATTCACTCATTCACTCACTCACCCACTCACTCACCCACTCATTCACTCACTCACACACTCACACATTCACTCACTCATTCACTCACTCATTCACTCATTCATTCACTCATCCATTCACTCATTTATTCACTCACTCATTTACTCACTCATTCACTCGTTCATTCACTCACTCATTCACTCACTCATTCACTCACTCATTTACTCACTCATTCACTCGTTCATTCATTCACTCATTCACTCACTCATTCACTCACTCATTCACTCACTCACTCACTCATTCACTCATTCACACACTCATTCACTCACTCACACACTCACTCACTCACTCACCCACTCACCCACTCACTCACCCAGCCACCCACCCACTCACTCACCCACCCACTCACTCACCCACCCACCCACTCACTCACTCACCCACCCACCCACTCACTCACTCACTCACACACTCACTCACCCACTCACCCACTCACTCACTCACCCACCCACCCACTCACTCACACACCCACCCACTCACCGCTCAATTTGCTCCTCTCTGCTGAGACCGGTGGACATTCTGTGCAGCTCTTTGCACGGCGTGCGCTCACTCAGCCCCCTGCAGACAGGCAGCAGCATCATCATAAGCAGCATCATCATCAGCAACAGCATCATCAGCAGCATCATCATCAGCAGCATCAGCATAATCAGCAGCATCATCATCATCAACAGGATAATCATCATGAGCAGCATCATCATCAGCAGCATCAGCAGCATCATCATCAGCAGCAGCAGCAGGATCATCATCAGCAGCATCATCAGCATCATCATTGCCACCACCACAATAATCATCAAAGACAAAGATCCCCCGTGTAGCCTGTAACAGGCTGTAGGGGCAAGTGCTGTCAGTAGTGGCGAGTAACAGCAGCACCTACACACGGACAAAGATCCCCCGTGTAGCCTGTAACAGGCTGTAGGGGCAAGTGCTGTCAGTAGTAGCGAGTAACAGCAGTACCTACACACAGACAAAGATCCCCCGTGTGTAGCCTGTAACAGGCTGTGGGGGCAAGTGCTGTCAGTAGTAGCGAGTAACAGCAGCACCTACACACAGCCAAAGATCCCCCGTGTGTAGCCTGTAACAGGCTGTAGGGGCAAGTGCTGTCAGTAGTAGCGAGTAGCAGCACCTACACACAGACAAAGATCCCCCGTGTAGCCTGTAACAGGCTGTAGGGGCAAGTGCTGTCAGTAGTAGCGAGTAACAGCAGCACCTACACACGGACAAAGATCCCCCGTGTAGCCTGTAACAGGCTGTAGGGGCAAGTGCTGTCAGCGAGTAACAGCACCTACACACAGACAAAGATCCCCCGTGTAGCCTGTAACAGGCTGTAGGGGCAAGTGCTGTCAGCGAGTAACAGCACCTACACACAGCCAAAGATCCCCCGTGTGTAGCCTGTAACAGGCTGTAGGGGCAAGTGCTGTCAGTAGTAGCGAGTAACAGCAGCACCTACACACAGACAAAGATCCCCCGTGTGTAGCCTGTAACAGGCTGTAGGGGCAAGTGCTGTCAGCGAGTAACAGCAGCACCTACACACGGACAAAGATCCCCCGTGTGTAGCCTGTAACAGGCTGTGGGGGCAAGTGCTGTCAGCGAGTAACAGCAGCACCTACACACAGACAAAGATCCCCCGTGTGTAGCCTGTAACAGGCTGTAGGGGCAAGTGCTGTCAGTAGTAGCGAGTAACAGCAGCACCTACACATGGACAAAGATCCCCCGTGTGTAGCCTGTAACAGGCTGTAGGGGCAAGTGCTGTCAGTAGTAGCGAGTAACAGCAGCACCTACACACAGACAAAGATCCCCCGTGTATTCTCTAACAGGCTGTAGGGGCAAGTGCTGTCAGTAGTAGCGAGTAACAGCAGCACCTACACACGGACAAAGATCCCCCGTGTAGCCTGTAACAGGCTGTAGGGGCAAGTGCTGTCAGCGAGTAACAGCAGCACCTACACACGGACAAAGATCCCCCGTGTGTAGCCTGTAACAGGCTGTAGGGGCAAGTGCTGTTAGCAGCACCTACACACAGACAAAGATCCCCCGTGTGTAGCCTGTAACAGGCTGTAGGGGCAAGTGCTGTCAGCGAGTAACAGCAGCACCTACACACGGACAAAGATCCCCCGTGTGTAGCCTGTAACAGGCTGTGGGGGCAAGTGCTGTCAGCGAGTAACAGCACCTACACACAGCCAAAGATCCCCCGTGTAGCCTGTAACAGGCTGTAGGGGCAAGTGCTGTCAGTAGTAGCGAGTAACAGCAGCACCTACACACGGACAAAGATCCCCCGTGTGTAGCCTGTAACAGGCTGTAGGGGCAAGTGCTGTCAGTAGTAGCGAGTAACAGCAGCACCTACACACGGACAAAGATCCCCCGTGTGTAGCCTGTAACAGGCTGTAGGGGCAAGTGCTGTCAGTAGTAGCGAGAAACAGCAGCACCTACACACAGACAAAGATCCCCCGTGTGTAGCCTGTAACAGGCTGTGGTGGCAAGTGCTGTCAGCGAGTAACAGCAGCACCTACACACGGACAAAGATCCCCCGTGTGTAGCCTGTAACAGGCTGTGGGGGCAAGTGCTGTCAGTAGTAGCGTGTAACAGCAGCACCTACACACGGACAAAGATCCCCCGTGTGTAGCCTGTAACAGGCTGTGGGGGCAAGTGCTGGTGACATCCTGCGTGTAAGTTGTACGACACTCGGTAAGGCCGACTCCAAGCAACTGCACTGTCAGAGCGAGCGTGTGTCCGTCCGCCAACCGATGGCATCCGGTTCAACAGCCTGACCCTAGCAATAGGTTTTCACCCTTTTAGCTGGCACAACAACTGACGCCCTTATTCAGGGCATCGTGTTTTGCAATAACCGCAACGCAAGCAAGTCAAAATGCAAACAACAACAAAAAGACGACTCTGATGATGATAATAATTGGCACTGTCCTTGAATTTGATTGGTCCACACCCGAGACGGCTTTTCTTAGAGCCCCTTTAGTCTCACACACTGGTGTTGAACCAGAAGACGCCAAAAGGCGTACAGCTCAAAAACAGCGCACTATCAGAGTTATTGAGGGCTCGGGGTGAGCCTTTACATTATGAGACCTCCTTTGCCAGTAACAAGATATAGGAATAGGTTTTACCCCTTTTTAACTGGCACAAAAAACTGATAAACCTTTATTCAAGGCATCGTGTTTTGCAATAACCACAACACAAGCAAGTCAAAATGCAAACAAAAAAAAAGACAACTCTGATAATAATATTGGCACCGTCCTTGAATTTGATTGGTCCACACCAGAGACGGCTTTTCTTGGAGCCCTTTAGTCTCCATTGGTGTTGGACCAGAAGACGCCAAAAGGCGTACAGCTCAAAAACAGCGCACTATCAGAGTTATTGAGGGCTCGGGGTGAGCCTTTACATTATGAGACCTCCTTTGCCAGTAACACAATATATAGTAATGAGGTTTCACCCTTTTAACTGACCCTCTTGATCATTCTTGAAATTCACATTTGTTGAATGTCACCCCTAAGCACCTGTGAAGGCCGGCACGGCACACGAGGGGGTGGGTGGTCTGGACCTCCCCCGGCGATGTTGACACACCGCTCAAAGGTGGTACTCATTTGAGGCTGAGTCGACCTAGGGGAGGCCCGGGACCGGTTTCAGATCATCGTCACGTGGTGGTGTTGGCCGTGAGCGGGAATCGAACCCAGGTCGCCGGGTTCGTAGCGGGTAGCGTAGAGCTGAACGCTACACCACCGCTTCCCAACATCACCACCATCATCATCATCACCACCATCATCATCACCATCATCATCACCACCACCATCATCATCACCACCATCATCATCACCATCATCATCACCATCAGCATCATCATCACCATCACCATCATCATCACCACCATCATCACCACCATCATCATCACCACCATCACCACCACCATCATCATCACCATCATCACCATCATCATCGCCGCCATCACCACCACCATCACCACCACCACCAACATCACCACCATCATCACCGCCACCATCATCACCATCATCATCACCGCCGCCATCACCACCACCACCACCCCCACCACCATTACTACCGCCACCATCACCACCACCATCCCCACCACCATCATCACCACCACCATCATCACCACCCCCACCATCACCACCACTATCACTACCGCCACCATCACCACCACCATCCCCACCACCATCATTACCACCACCATCATCACCTCCCCCACCATCACCACCACTATCACTACCGCCACCATCACCACCACCATCATCACCACCATCATCACCTCCCCCACCATCACCACCACTATCACTACCGCCACCATCACCACCACCATCATCACCACCACCATCATCACCACCACCATCATCCCCACCACCATCCCCACCACCATCATCACCACCACCATCATCACCTCCCCCACCATCACCACCACTATCACTACCGCCACCATCACCACCACCATCCCCACCACCATCATCACCACCATCATCACCACCCCCACCATCACCACCACTATCACTACCGCCACCATCACCACCACCATCCCCACCACCATCATCACCACCACCATCATCACCTCCCCCACCATCACCACCACTATCACTACCGCCACCATCACCACCACCATCATCACCACCACCATCCCCACCACCATCATCACCACCACCATCATCACCACCCCCACCATCACCACCACTATCACTACCGCCACCATCACCACCGTCATCACCACCCCCACCACCACCACCACCACTCACCCCAGCCTGGTGAAGGTGTTGGCTGTGGGGTTCCAGGCGTAGCGTGAATGTTGGAACACAAAGAACCTGAAGTTTGGCTTCTCCTGCACAACACAAACATCACCATCACCACCATTATCAGCATCACAAACATCACTAACATCACCAACACCACCACCATCATCACCATCATCATCACCACCATCACCACCATCATCACCATCATCACCATCACCACCATCAGCGCCATCATCACCATCACCATAATCACCATCATCACTACCCCCACCATCACCACCACTATCACTACCGCCACCATCCCCACCATCATCATCATCATCACCACCATTATCACAACCACCATCATCACTACCCCCACCTTCACCACCACTATCACTACCGCCACCATCCCCACCACCATCATCATCATCACCACCATCACCACAACCACCATCATCACCATCATCACCACCATCATCACCATCATCACCACCATCACCATAATCACCATCATCATCACCATCATCATCCCCATCATCACCACCATCACAATCACCATCATCATCGTCTCCATCATCATTACCATCACCATTATCACTATCATCACCACCATAATCTTCACCACCATCACAATCACCATAATCACCATCACCACCATCACCACCATCATCACCACCACCATCACCACCATCATCACCACCACCATCACCATAATCATCACCATCATCATCAACGTAATCACCATCATCATTATCACCACCATCACCACCATCACCATCACCACCACCACCACCATCACCACCACCACCATCACCACCACCACCATCACCACCACCACCACCATCACCACCACCATCACCACCACCACCATCACCACCACCACCATCACCACCACCACCACCATCACCACCACCACCACCACCACCATCACCACCACCACCATCACCACCACCACCATCACCACCTCCACCACCACCACCACCACCATCACCACCACCATCACCACAACCATCACCACCATCACCACCACCACCACACCACCATCACCACCACACCACCATCACCACCACCACCACCACCATCACCACCATCACCACCATCACCACCATCACCACCATCACCACCACCACCACCATCACCACCACCACCACCATCACCACCACCACCACCATCACCACCACCACCACCACCACCATCACCACCACCACCACCATCACCACCACCACCACCACCATCACCACCACCATCACCCCCCACCTCACCTCTTCGTCTGAGTGTAGCTGGACGGTGTCCCCCCACTCATCGTCGCTTCTCTGCACCGCATCAGGCTGCAGGAGGTGCAGCTGCTTCAAGCTGCACCACCACCACCACCATCATCAGCATCATCATCAGCATCATCACCAACACCATCATCATCAGCATCATCATCAGCATCATTAGCACCATCATCAGCATCATCAGCATCATCAGCAGCATCATCAGCATCATCAGCACCATCAGCATCACCATCACCAGCATCATCTTCATATTCATCAGCATCATCAGCACCATTATCATCATAAGCATCATCATCAGCACTACCATCATCATCAGCAGCAGCACCATCATCATCAGCACCATCATCAGCAGCACCATCATCAGCATCATCAGCACCATCATCATCAGCAGCAGCACCATCATCATCAGCACCATCATCAGCATCATCATCATCACCATCAGCACCACCATCATCAGCATCATCAGCATCACCATCATCAGCATCATCATCATCATCGGCATCATCAACATTTGCCTCATAGGTGCTCGCTAACAGAGGCTACACGGGGCACCTTTGCCTGTATCTTTGTTCCCCACCGTGTGTGCACTTGACCCTGCAGCCTGCCGGAGGCTACACGGGGCACCTTTGCCTGTATCTTTGTCCCCACCGTGTGTGCACTTGCCCCTGCAGCCTGCCGCAGGCTACACGGGGCACCTTTGCCTGTATCTTTGTCCCCCCCGCGTGTGTGCACTTGACCCTGCAGCCTGCCGGAGGCTACACGGGGCACCTTTGCCTGTATCTTTGTCCCCACCGTGTGTGCACTTGCCCCTGCAGCCTGCCGCAGGCTACACGGGGCACCTTTGCCTGTATCTTTGTCCTCCCCTGTGTGTGCACTTGACCTTGCAGCCTGCCAGAGGCTACACGGGCCACCTTTGCCTGTATCTTTGTCCCCCACCGTGCGTGCACTTGACCCTGCAGCCTGTCGGAGGCTACACGGGGCACCTTTGCCTGTATCTTTGTTCCTGTGTGCACTTGACCCTGCAGCCTGCCGCAGGCTACACGGGGCCACCTTTGCCTGTATCTTTGTCCCCCACCGTGTGTGCACTTGACCCTGCAGCCTGCAGGAGGCTACACGGGCCACCTTTGCCTGTATCTGACCTCAGCTCCGCCACGGCTGCCCCCTCCACCGTCGCCACAAACTCCTGCCCCATTGCATCCTGGGAAGAGAGAGAGAGAGCGAGAGAGCCACGTGACCTCGCGTAGCCTCTGACGGAGCGCCGGGGCCAAGTGCTGCCACCTTTGTCTCCCCACGGCGCTGGGCTCTGGTGACCCCCCCACACACACCCCGGTGACCCCCCCCCGTGACCCCCCACCCGTGACCCCCCACCCGTGACCTCCCGCCACCCCCACCCCCCCATGACCCCACCTCCCCTCGTGACCGCCCACCCCCCCCGTGACTCCCACCCCTCCGTGACCCCCCCGTGACCTCCCGCCCCCCCCCCGTGACCCCCCACACCCCGGTGACCCCCGTGACCCCCCCATGACCTCCCACCCGTGACCTCCCGCCCGCCCCCTGTAACCTCCCACTCCCCCCCCGTGACCCCCCACGTGACCCCCCGTGACCCCCCCACCCCCAGTTACCCCCCAACCCCCCCTCGTGACCCCCCACCCCCCCACGTGACCCCCCACGTGACCCCCCCCTCACGTGACCTTGATCAGCACGTGGGTGGCCTGGGCGAGGCCGCAGGCTCGGCTCCTGAGGCGTAGGCCCCAGGAAGGGCGCCAGTGGAAGAGGAGCAGAGAGAGGCCCAGGGTGGAGACGCACAGACACACGTGACACACACAGCGCCAGCGGACCTCCTGTCTGCCACGTAGCACCTGGGGTGGTGACACACAGAGACACACAGGGTGACACACACACACACACAGGGTGACACACAGGGTGACACACACACAGAGACACACAGGGTGACACACAGGGTGACACACAGGGTGACACACACACAGAGAGAGGCCCAGGGTGGAGACGCACAGAGACACGTGACACACACAGCGCCAGCGAACCTCCTGTCTGCCACGTAGCACCTGGAGTCACACACAGGGTAACACACAGAGACACACACAGAGACACACAGAGACACACAGGGTGACACACAGAGACACACAGGGTGACACACACACAGAGACACAGGGTGACACACAGGGTGACACACACACAGAGAGAGGCCCAGGGTGGAGACACACAGAGACACGTGACACACACAGCGCCAGCGGACCTCCTGTCTGCCACGTAGCACCTGGTAACACACAGAGACACACACAGAGACACACAGAGACACACAGAGACACACAGGGTGACACACACACAGAGAGAGGCCCAGGGTGGAGACACACAGACACACGTGACACACACAGCGCCAGCGAACCTCCTGTCTGCCACGTAGCACCTGGTAACACACAGAGACACACACAGAGACACACAGAGACACACAGGGTGACACACAAGGTGACACACACACAGAGAGAGGCCCAGGGTGGAGACACACAGACACACGTGACACACACAGCGCCAGCGAACCTCCTGTCTGCCACGTAGCACCTGGGGTCACACACAGAGACACACAGACACACACACAGAGACACACAGACACACGTGACACACACAGAGACACACAGGGTGACACACACACAGGGTGACACACACACAGGGTGACACACACACAGAGAGAGGCCCAGGGTGGAGACACACAGACACACGTGACACACACAGCGCCAGCGTAACTCCTGTCTGCCACGTAGCACCTGGGGTGGTGACACACAGGGTGACACACACACAGACACACGTGACACACACAGAGACACAGAGTGACACACACACAGAGACAGGCCCAGCGTGGAGACACACAGACACACGTGACACACACAGCGCCAGCGAACCTCCTGTCTGCCACGTAGCACCTGGGGTGGTGACACACACAGAGACACACAGACACACAGACACACACACAGGGTGACACACAGGGTGACACACAGGGTGACACACACACAGAGAGAGGCCCAGCGTGGAGACGCACAGACACACGTGACACACACAGCGCCAGCGAACCTCCTGTCTGCCACGTAGCACCTGGGGTCACACACAGAGACACACAGACACACACACAGAGACACACAGACACACGTGACACACACAGAGACACACAGGGTGACACACACACAGGGTGACACACACACAGGGTGACACACACACAGAGAGAGGCCCAGGGTGGAGACACACAGACACACGTGACACACACAGCGCCAGCGTAACTCCTGTCTGCCACGTAGCACCTGGGGTGGTGACACACAGGGTGACACACACACAGACACACGTGACACACACAGAGACACAGAGTGACACACACACAGAGACAGGCCCAGCGTGGAGACACACAGACACACGTGACACACACAGCGCCAGCGAACCTCCTGTCTGCCACGTAGCACCTGGGGTGGTGACACACACAGAGACACACAGACACACAGACACACACACAGGGTGACACACAGGGTGACACACAGGGTGACACACACACAGAGAGAGGCCCAGCGTGGAGACGCACAGACACACGTGACACACACAGCGCCAGCGAACCTCCTGTCTGCCACGTAGCACCTGGGGTCACACACAGAGACACACAGACACACAGGGTGACACACACAGAGAGAGGCCCAGCGTGGAGACACACAGACACACGTGACACACACAGCGCCAGCGAACCTCCTGTCTGCCACGTAGCACCTGGGGTGGTGACACACAGGGTGACACACAGGGTGACACACAGGGTGACACACAGAGAGAGGCCCAGCGTGGAGACGCACAGAGACACGTGACACACAGAGCGCCAGCGAACCTCCTGTCTGCCACGTAGCACCTGGGGTCACACACAGAGACACACACAGGGTGACACACAGGGTGACACACAGGGTGACACACAGGGTGACACACACAGAGAGAGGCCCAGCGTGGAGACACACAGAGACACGTGACACACACAGCGCCAGCGAACCTCCTGTCTACCACGTAGCACCTGGGGTCACACACAGAGACACACACAGAGACACACAGAGACACACAGAGACACACAGGGTGACACACACACACAGAGAGAGGCCCAGCGTGGAGACGCACAGACACACGTGACACACACAGCGCCAGCGAACCTCCTGTCTACCACGTAGCACCTGGGGTGACACACAGAGACACACACAGAGACACACAGAGACACACAGGGTGACACACACACACACAGACAGGCCCAGCGTGGAGACGCACAGAGACACGTGACACACACAGCGCCAGCGAACCTGTCTGCCACGTAGCACCTGGGGTGACACACAGGGTGACACACAGGGTGACACACAGGGTGACACACAGGGTGACACACACAGAGACACACAGGGTGACACACAGGGTGACACACAGGGTGACACACAGGGTGACACACACAGAGACAGGCCCAGCGTGGAGACGCACAGACACACGTGACACACACAGCGCCAGCGAACCTCCTGTCTGCCACGTAGCACCTGGGGTGACACACACACAGGGTGACACACACAGACACACAGGGTGACACACACACAGGGTGACACACACACAGAGAGAGGCCCAGCGTGGAGACGCACAGACACACGTGACACACACAACGCCAGCGGACCTCCTGTCTGCCACGTAGCACCTGGAGTGACACACACACAGAGACACACAGACACACGTGACACACACACAGAGACACACAGACACACACACAGAGACACACACACAGACACACAGGGTGACACACAGAGACACACACACAGACACACGTGACACACACAGCGCCAGCGTACCTCCTGTCTGCCACGTTGCACCTGGGGTGGTGACACACACACAGGGTGACACACACAGGGTGACACACAGAGACAGGCCCAGCGTGGAGACACACAGAGACACGTGACACACACAGCGCCAGCGTACCTCCTGTCTGCCACCCCGAGTCTCTACACCCTGAGTCTCTACTACATCCTGAGTCTCTACTACACCCCGAGTCTCTACACCCTGAGTCTCTACTACACCCTGAGTCTCTACTAGACCCAGAGTCTCTACTACACCCTGAGTCTCTACTACACCCTGAGTCTCTACTACACCCCGCGTCTCTACTACACCCCGAGTCTCTACTACACCCCGCGTCTCTACTACACCCTGAGTCTCTACTACATCCTGAGTCTCTACTACACGCCGAGTCTCTACACCCTGAGTCTCTACTACATCCTGAGTCTCTACTACACCCCGAGTCTCTACACCCTGAGTCTCTACTACACCCTGAGTCTCTGCTACACCCTGAGTCTCTACTACACCCTGAGTCTCTACTAGACCCTGAGTCTCTACTACACCCTGAGTCTCTACTAGACCCCGCGTCTCTACTACACCCCGAGTCTCTACTACACCCTGCGTCTCTACTACACCCCGAGTCTCTACTACACCCTGAGTCTCTACTACATCCTGAGTCTCTACTAGACCCCGCGTCTCTACTACACCCCGAGTCTCTACTACACCCTGAGTCTCTACTACACCCTGAGTCTCTACTAGACCCCGCGTCTCTACTACACCCCGAGTCTCTACTACACCCTGAGTCTCTACTACACCCCGAGTCTCTACTACACCCTGAGTCTCTACTAGACCCTGAGTCTCTACTACACCCTGAGTCTCTACTAGACCCTGAGTCTCTACTAGACCCTGAGTCTCTACTACACCCTGAGTCTCTACTAGACCCCGTGTCTCTACTACACCCTGAGTCTCTACTAGACCCTGAGTCTCTACTACACCCTGAGTCTCTACTAGACCCTGAGTCTCTACTACACCCTGAGTCTCTACTACACCCCGAGTCTCTACTACACCCCAAGTCTCTACTACACCCCGAGTCTCTACTACACCCTGAGTCTCTACTACACCCTGAGTCTCTACTAGACCCTGAGTCTCTACTAGACCCTGAGTCTCTACTACACCCCGCATCTCTACTACACCCCGCGTCTCTGCTACACCCTGAGTCTCTACTACACCCAGAGTCTCTACTACACCCTGAGTCTCTACTACACCCAGAGTCTCTACTACACCTTGAGTCTCTACTACACCCCGCGTCTCTACTACACCCTGAGTCTCTACTAGACCCCGCGTCTCTACTACACCCCGAGTCTCTACTACACCCCGCGTCTCTACTACACCCTGAGTCTCTACTACACCCTGAGTCTCTACTACATCCTGAGTCTCTACTACACCCTGAGTCTCTACTAGACCCCGCCTCTCTACTACACCCCGAGTCTCTACTACACCCTGAGTCTCTACTACACCCCGAGTCTCTACTACACCCTGAGTCTCTACTAGACCCTGAGTCTCTACTAGACCCTGAGTCTCTACTAGACCCTGAGTCTCTACTACACCCTGAGTCTCTACTAGACCCCGTGTCTCTACTACACCCTGAGTCTCTACTAGACCCTGAGTCTCTACTACACCCTGAGTCTCTACTAGACCCTGAGTCTCTACTAGACCCTGAGTCTCTACTACACCCCGAGTCTCTACTACACCCCAAGTCTCTACTACACCCCGAGTCTCTACTACACCCTGAGTCTCTACTACACCCTGAGTCTCTACTAGACCCTGAGTCTCTACTAGACCCTGAGTCTCTACTACACCCCGCATCTCTACTACACCCCGCGTCTCTGCTACACCCTGAGTCTCTACTACACCCAGAGTCTCTACTACACCCTGAGTCTCTACTACACCCAGAGTCTCTACTACACCTTGAGTCTCTACTACACCCCGCGTCTCTACTGCACCCCGAGTCTCTACTACACCCTGAGTCTCTACTACACCCTGAGTCTCTACTACACCCTGAGTCTCTACTAGACCCCGAGTCTCTACTACACCCCGAGTCTCTACACCCTGAGTCTCTACTACACCCCGCGTCTCTACTACACCCTGAGTCTCTACACCCTGAGTCTCTACTACACCCCGCGTCTCTACTACACCCTGAGTCTCTACTACACCCCGCATCTCTACTACACCCTGAGTCTCTACTACACCCCGCGTCTCTACTACACCCTGAGTCTCTACTACACCCAGAGTCTCTACTACACCTTGAGTCTCTACTACACCCCGCGTCTCTACTGCACCCCGAGTCTCTACTACACCCCGAGTCTCTACTACACCCTGAGTCTCTACTACACCCCGCGTCTCTACTACACCCTGAGTCTCTACTAGACCCCGAGTCTCTACTACACCCCGAGTCTCTACACCCTGAGTCTCTACTACACCCCGCGTCTCTACTGCACCCCGAGTCTCTACGAGACCCCGCGTCTCTACTACACCCTGAGTCTCTACTACACCCCGCATCTCTACTACACCCTGAGTCTCTACTACACCCCGAGTCTCTACTACACTCCGCGTCTCTACTACACCCTGAGTCTCTACTACACCCCGCGTCTCTACTAGACCCCGCGTCTCTACTACACCCTGAGTCTCTACTACACCCTGAGTCTCTACTACACCCTGAGTCTCTACTAGACCCCGCGTCTCTACTACACCCTGAGTCTCTACTACACCCAGAGTCTCTACTACACCTTGAGTCTCTACTACACCCCGCGTCTCTACTGCACCCCGAGTCTCTACTACACCCTGAGTCTCTACTAGACCCCGAGTCTCTACTACACCCCGAGTCTCTACACCCTGAGTCTCTACTACACCCCGCGTCTCTACTACACCCTGAGTCTCTACACCCTGAGTCTCTACTACACCCCGAGTCTCTACTACACCCTGAGTCTCTACTAGACCCCGAGTCTCTACTACACCCCGAGTCTCTACACCCTGAGTCTCTACTACACCCCGCGTCTCTACTACACCCTGAGTCTCTACTACACCCCGAGTCTCTACTACACCCCGCGTCTCTACTACACCCTGAGTCTCTACTACACCCTGAGTCTCTACTACACCCCGAGTCTCTACACCCTGAGTCTCTACTACATCCTGAGTCTCTACTACACCCCGAGTCTCTACACCCTGAGTCTCTACTACATCCTGAGTCTCTACTACACCCCGAGTCTCTACACCCTGAGTCTCTACTACACCCTGAGTCTCTGCTACACCCTGAGTCTCTACTACAGCCTGAGTCTCTACTACACCCTGAGTCTCTACTACACCCCGCGTCTCTACTAGACCCCGCGTCTCTACTACACCCCGCGTCTCTACTACACCCTGAGTCTCTACTACAACCTGAGTCTCTACTACACCCTGAGTCTCTACTACACCCCGAGTCTCTACTACACCCCGCGTCTCTACTACACCCTGAGTCTCTACTACACCCTGAGTCTCTACTACAACCTGAGTCTCTACTACACCCTGAGTCTCTACTACACCCTGAGTCTCTACTACACCCTGAGTCTCTACTAGACCCCGCGTCTCTACTACACCCCGAGTCTCTACTACACCCCGCGTCTCTACTACACCCTGAGTCTCTACTACACCCTGAGTCTCTACTACATCCTGAGTCTCTACTACACCCTGAGTCTCTACTAGACCCCGCGTCTCTACTACACCCTGAGTCTCTGCTACACCCCGAGTCTCCACTACACCCCGAGTCTCTACTACACCCTGAGTCTCTACTACACCCTGAGTCTCTACTACACCCTGAGTCTCTGCTACACCCTGAGTCTCTACTAGACCCCGAGTCTCTACTACACCCAGAGTCTCTAGTACACCCTGCGTCTCTCTACACCCAGAGTCTCTACTACACCCTGAGTCTCTACTAGACCCCGAGTCTCTACTACACCCCGAGTCTCTACTAGACCCTGAGTTTCTACTACAGCCTGACTTTCTACTACACCCTGAGTCTCTACTACACCCCGAGTCTCTACTACAACCTGAGTCTCTACTAGACCTCGCGTCTCTACTACACCCTGAGTCTCTACTACACCCCGCGTCTCTACTACACCCCGCGTCTCTGCTACACCCCGCGTCTCTACTACACCCCGAGTCTCTCCTCCCCGGCCCACCGTTCTCTCACCATCTGCTGCTGTGGTGCCATCGGCTCCGTGCGGGCGACGCCGTAGTTGGCCATCTGCTTGGTGTCCAACAGCCTCCTCCTCACTGCGGGGGGTGCAAGCACAGGCAAAGGTCCCCCACGTAGCCTCTCAACGGCCAAGTGCGCTTCTTGAGAACAGCTTCGTGTTGCTGTGTTTAGTTTATGGTTTTAGCCACCCCCCCCCCTCACCGCCATCGATCAGCACGGTTGACTACGCACGGTGCGAAAGACGTTCAAGTTACGTGCATACACAGAGACCCACAGACACCCATAGAGACACCCAGGCGCATAGAGACCCATAGAGACACCCACAGATTAGCACGGTTAGCTACGTACGGTGGAAAATAGGTTCAAGTTACGTACATACACAGAGACCCATAGACACCCATAGAGACACCAATAGATCAGCACGGTTGACTACGCACGGTGCGAAAGACGTTCAACTTACGTACATGCACAGAGACCCACAGACACCCATAGAGACCCATAGAGACACCCACAGATCAGCATGGTTAGCTACGTACGGTGCGAAAGACGTTCAACTTACGTACATACACAGAGACCCACAGACACCCATAGAGACACCCATAGAGACACCAATAGATCAGCATGGTTGACTACGTACGGTGTGAAAGAAGTTCAACTTACGTACATACACAGAGACCCACAGACACCCCACAGACACCCATAGAGACACCCAGGCGCATAGAGACCCATAGAGACACCCATAGATTAGCACGGTTAGCTACGTACGGTGCGAAATAGGTTCAAGTTACGTACATACACAGAGACCCACAGACACCCATAGAGACACCAATAGATCAGCACGGTTGACTACGCACGGTGCGAAAGACGTTCAACTTACGTACATGCACAGAGACCCACAGACACCCATAGAGACCCATAGAGACACCCACAGATCAGCATGGTTGACTACCCACGGTGCGAAAGACGTTCAACTTATGTACATACACAGAGACCCACAGACACCCATAGAGACCCATAGAGACACCCATAGATCAGCATGGTTGACTACCCACGGTGCGAAAGACGTTCAACTTATGTACATACACAGAGACCCACAGACACCCATAGAGACCCATAGAGACACCCATAGATCAGCATGGTTGACTACCCACGGTGCGAAAGACGTTCAACTTATGTACATACACAGAGACCCACAGACACCCATAGAGACACCCACAGATCAGCACGGTTAGCTACGCACGGTGCGAAATAGGTTCAACTTACGTACATACACAGAGACCCACAGACACCCATAGAGACCCATAGAGACACCCACAGATCAGCATGGTTAGCTACCCACGGTGCGAAAGACGTTCAACTTACGTACATACACAGAGACCCACAGACACCCATAGAGACCCATAGAGACACCCATAGATCAGCATGGTTGACTACCCACGGTGCGAAAGACGTTCAACTTATGTACATACACAGAGACCCACAGACACCCATAGAGACACCCACAGATCAGCACGGTTAGCTACGCACGGTGCGAAATAGGTTCAACTTACGTACATACACAGAGACCCACAGACACCCATAGAGACCCATAGAGACACCCACAGATCAGCATGGTTAGCTACCCACGGTGCGAAAGACGTTCAACTTACGTACATACACAGAGACCCACAGACACCCATAGAGACACCCACAGATCAGCACGGTTAGCTACGCACGGTGCGAAATAGGTTCAACGTACACGCTTACAACAGAGACACAAAGGTCCCCCGCATAGCCTCTCAGCAGACTCTGTGGGCGGGGGTGGGTGGGGGTTGGAGCAAGTACGGTTCTTCAGAACTGCGTTGTTGTGTTGCTGTGTTTCCGTGTGTTGCTCTTCTCAATCCCCTGCAACTCCAATTGGCGCGGGTGGCTACGTGTGAAAGAAGCTCCGCGTACAGACAAAGGTCCCCCGCGTAGCCTCTCAGCAGACTGTCAGGGGCAAGTGCCGCCAGCAGTAGCAAGCAGCACCATCGCCTAGGAAGGGTACGGCACTGCGGGGGGTGGGTGGACACCACCACCACCACCACCACGCCCGGCCGCCTTTGTCTCCCTCCACACACACACACACACACGCACATACCGATTTCACTCACGCACCCACACACGCAGTCACCCACTTAACCACTCACCTATCCACCCACCCACACAACCACTCACACCTACTCACCCAACCACTCACTCACCAACTCACCCAACCACTCACTCACTCGCCCACACACACAACCACTCACCAACTCACCCAACCACTCACTCGCCCACACACCCACTCACCCGCTCACCCACCCACCCACCCAACCACTCACTCACCAACTCACCCAACCACTCACTCACTCGCCCACACACCCACTCACCCCCTCACCCACCCACCCAACCACTCACTCACCAACTCACCCAACCACTCACTCACTCGCCCACACACCCTCTCACCTGCTCACCCACCCACCCACCCAACCACTCACTCACCAACTCACCCAACCACTCACTCACTCGCCCACACACCCACTCACCCCCTCACCCACCCACCCAACCACTCACTCACCAACTTACCCAACCACTCACTCACTCGCCCACACACACAACCACTCATTCACCAACTCACCCAACCACTCACTCACCCACACACCCACTCACCCGCTCACCCACCCACCCACACAACCACTCACTCACCAACTCACCCAACCACTCACTCACTCGCCCACACACCCTCTCACCTGCTCACCCACCCACCCACCCAACCACTCACTCACCAACTCACCCAACCACTCACTCACTCGCCCACACACCCACTCACCCCCTCACCCACCCACCCAACCACTCACTCACCAACTCACCCAACCACTCACTCACTCGCCCACACACACAACCACTCACCAACTCACCCAACCACTCACTCGCCCACACACCCACTCACCCGCTCACCCACCCACACAACCACTCACTCACCAACTCACCCAACCACTCACTCACTCGCCCACACATCCTCTCACCCGCTCACCCACCCACCCACCCAACCACTCACTCACCAACTCACCCAACCACTCACTCACTCGCCCACACACCCACTCACCCCCTCACCCACCCACCCAACCACTCACTCACCAACTCACCCAACCACTCACTCACTCGCCCACACACCCACTCACCCCCTCACCCACCCACCCAACCACTCACTCACCAACTCACCCAACCACTCACTCACTCGCCCACACACACAACCACTCACTCACCAACTCACCCAACCACTCACTCACTCGCCCACACACCCACTCACCCCCTCACCCACCCACCCAACCACTCACTCACCAACTCACCCAACCACTCACTCGCCCACACACACAACCACTCACTCACCAACTCACCCAACCACTCACTCACTCGCCCACACACCCACTCACCCGCTCACCCACCCACCCAACCACTCACTCACCAACTCACCCAACCACTCACTCACTCGCCCACACACCCACTCACCCGCTCAACTAACCCACCCACCCACCCACACAACCACTCACCAACTCACCCAACCACTCACCCGCTCAACTAACCCACCCACCCACACAAGCACTCACTCACCAACTCACCCAACCACTCACTCGCCCACACGCCCACTCACCCGCTCACCCAACCACCCACCCGCTCATCCACCCACCCACCCGCTCACCCACCCACCCACCCACTCACCCACCCACACAACCACTCACTCACCAACTCACCCAACCACTCATTCACTCGCCCACACACCCTCTCACCCTCTCACCCACTCACCCACTTCCTCAATGCAGTACAAACACAGACAAAGGTCCCCCGCGTAGCCTCTCAACAGACTGTCGGGGCAAGTGCTGCCAGCAGTAGCGAGTAACAGCCCTGTGACACACAGAGAGCAAAGATTGGGGTGGCTGGTTAGCACACTGCACCACGCCCGGCCGCCTTTGTCTCCCCCAGTGGCGATGTCTACTTACCCACATACGCACGTACACATTGGGAATCAATTCTAGATTTGAAGCTTTCGTGACTGCAAGGATCCATACTCTTTGTTTTTTTTAACCTACGTGACTTTACCGAATATAACCAAAAAGTACATTGGGAATCACTTCTAATTTGTATTTGACCAGGTAAGGCCCACGTACGATAGTTCAGCAGAAAGTGGCTTATCATCCACGTGGAAATGTGTAGCAGCAGTAGCAGCAGCAGCAACAGACAAATGACCCCAAAACATTGATTACAAATGTGGAGGGATGAACTGGAGGACACGGGAAAAAAATCCACACGGCCATGGGGAGAGAGAAAGAGACAAAGACTCCAAATACAGCAGCAGCAGGCGTTAGGGTCGGGATCGAACCCACGACCTCCTGCGTACCAGGCGAGGTAGTTAACATCTCATCAGGGTCGGGGTCGTACCCACGACCTCCTGTAGACCAGGCGAGGTAATTAACATCTCATCAGGGTCGTGATAGAACCCACGACCTCCTGCGTACCAGGCGAGGTAGTTAACATCTCATCAGGGTCGGGATCGAACCCACGATCTCATGTGTACCAGGCGAGGTAGTTAACATCTCATCAGGGTCGGGATCGAACTCACGATCTCCTGTGTACCAGGCGAGGTAGTTAACATCTCATCAGGGCCAGGATCGACCCCACGACCTCCTGCGTACCAGGCGAGGTAGTCAACATCTCATCAAGGTTGGGATCGAACCCACGACCTCCTGCGTACCAGGCGAGGTAGTTAACATCTCGTCAGGGTCGGGATTGAACCCACGACCTCCTGTGTACCAGGCAAGGTAGTTAACATCTCATCAAGGTTGGGATCGAACCCACGACCTCCTGCGTACCAGGCGAGGTAGTTAACATCTCGTCAGGGTCGGGATCGAACCCACGACCTCCTGTGTACCAGGCGAGGTAGTCAACATCTCATCAGGGCCGGGATCGACCCCACGACCTCCTGCGTACCACGCGAGGTAGTTAACATCTCACCAGGGTCGGGATCGAACCCACGATCTCCTGCGTACTAGGCGAGGTAGTTAACATCTCATCAGGGTCG